CTCTTTGCATATATATTATACATTTTAGTGAGTAAGCTAAGTCAATAGATCATTCACTGGGTGCAATTAAGGTGAACTAAAATAGATATAATTGCAGAAAATACTGGAATTGGGAAAATGTTCAATTAATAGACATGGCTTAAAAATAATTACAAGACTAATAATATAAAACTTAGGAATTTTAATTTTCATTGGTCTGCACTATTTTTTGTTTTTAATCTTTAATTACCCATATTTCTCATTGTCTTTCAGCATACTATTTATAGCTGCAGATAATGCAGTTATTACAATTAACTGAAGCACTGTTAGTTTGACATGGGAATGAGGTGGTACATTAATGTTCCTATTTACATTGGTATTATTTTCAGTTTTTGTAAAGACTTTACAACTGTACATAAACTGTACTTTGATTGGCTGGAGGGAGTGCAATGATAGATAAAGTCTGTGGTGTCAAACCAGAGAAGGTTCGATTTAAATCTACTACTGAGTAACAAACTGTTTGGCCTAGCTGCTTGTGCTAGATAAATGCAATGTTTTGGTTTTACCTTCATAAAATGATTAAAAATGCAAAACCTAATATTTATTATATCTATGTTAATTCCTATTGTGTGTTTGTTTTTCCACAAGCTCATCCCACACTTTTAGAGGTAGCATGACCAAACTTGGTAGGTTAAGACAGGGTGGCTTAGGAATGTCCTTAGCTGCACAGCATAAAGTCCCTACAAATGGTAGCTAAAACATAACTGTAAGGTCACAAAGCATGATGAGGGTCTAAGACTAGGTGTTCAGGGTTGCTGAACACAAATTTAGCATTGGGATTTGTGTTCCTGGTCCCCTCAGGATCCTAGCGAGTGCCATGCCTGAAACTATATTCATACCTCTACTCTGGAGCTGGTGAAACCAAATGTGGTATTCATGCTCAGATTATACAAACAGGTGTCCTAAATGTTTTTTTTCTTCTTGGAATCACCCAACTAATATAGCTACATATGTCTGTTATGTTTATGACAATTCCTGTGTCTTTAAGGCGTTTAAAATGTTTTAGTTGACGAAACAAAGAATAATTCCAGTATGCTGCAAAAAAATTAACTTTTCTGGCCAGAACTGAGAAACCTATTGTGGTGTTCTTAATGATGCAAATAAAATTCTAAATATAACATATGAATAACTTAAAACACTGTTTTGTGATTATTTCTTGGCCTAGCATGGTATAATTGTTAGAGAACTGAACTCACAATTGGAGATAGTAGATTCCAATCCCATCCCCGAACATGCTCACTCTTTCAGCCATGGGGGTATTATAATGTGATGGTCAATCCCACTATTAGTTTTTAAAGAGTAGCAAAAGAGTTGCCAGTGGGTGGTGTTAACTAACTGCCTTCCCTGTAGTCTATCACTTGAAGTTAGAAATGGTTAGCACAGATAGTCCTCAAGTAGCTTTATGTGAAATTCAAAATTAACAAACTTGTGATTATTGTGTGTTTGAGGATTGATGTAGGACAAGAGATTAGTGTTGGGAATTGTTGGAATTTTCATGATTGATTATTGGTTAAAAAACAACAATGAACATATTAGCCATACTAAAATAAAACAAAAATGCTTACAAAGAAATCAGGTGTATGTTATTTTATCAATGAACCATATAACTAAAAATCACTGAATATTATGACATGACAGCAAGAACATTAAAAAATGAAACACATAATTCATGTCACTTTTCAGACTAATTAATATTCCAGATCAGATAAAACCATCACCCAGTGGGACACTAGTATGTTTATGGACTTACAAATGCAAAAATATGAGGTTCAGTTCAAAGGAAATTTTTCATTATAATACATTTATTGTTCAGGCAAAACATAATCTTCATAGCCTTCAATCTTATTTCATTTCAGAGCCATAAACTAGAAAATGACACCCCTCCTACCACGCCCACCTGCCACATTTTTTCTTTCACAAATTGCCAATAATTCTCTCTCTGATGTTTATTATGATTTATAACCAATAGAAAGCCAACTTTTCAGTCTATCAAATGATGTACTATATTTCATTGTTTTCTGCACAGATAACTGTCAGTTTCATTTCCAATTCAAGCTTCATTCCCACGTGAAAGACATCAATGAGTTTAGCTGAATTTCTAATGGCTCTTGTCACATAGTAAGAAAGCCAGAATAATTGTGATAGTTATGGGATATCTTCTGCTTTTTACATGTTATTATTTGTTCTTTAGAGCATTATGTAATTGAATAAAATATTATTTACTGCAGTACTGCCATTAGTATGAAATAGTAGGGTTAAGTGTCATCAACAGTCAACAGCAAAACCAGCCAGCTAAATACTTTATTTCTTGTTTTTCATGAGTTCTTTATTTATCATTATAAAAGTAATTAAAATTTTAAAAAAATTAGAAACTTTCTAGGTCAGATAAGGTTAGATTAGGTAAAATAAATAATAATAATAATAAAATCTTTTCACAAGGTACACTCACGAGTAGCCTGTGTGTTATGTAATTCAATAGGGTAGCATGAGCTGCACATTCCCCAAGTAATTTTAAATCTTATCCTGGGAATATTAGTTTAGGCATTGTTCAACCAACAAAATTTAAGTATAAATAGATGTATACTGTTGTGATATTTAAGCTGTACAGGATAAACAAATCACGTTTCATGTTACAGTTTGAATTCATTCTAGAAAGGTAAAAAAGGTAATTTAGATTTATTTCGAATTTTTTTGGGGGTGGTTACAAGGTTGGTCAAATTGACCAACCTCACATAGAGTTAGGGTAGAGAAAATAACAGATAAAATATAGTTTTTCTGAAGAAAACATTTGATATTTATTTATGAGATTTTAGGGATTATGCAAATGAAATTTGAAAATTTTCAGATGAAGAAATGTATTCTCAACCTTAATATGAAAATCACTTTGCACTCAGAGCAGGCAACACTGACATTATATAATTAATCAGAAAGTTGTATTAAAGATATTTAATTTAAAATTCTGATTTTTTGTTTATGAAAGACCTTTAAAGTTTACTGACAGCTTGCCAATTTTAGTGACGATACAGTAAGTACTTTCAGAGTTATAGTTACATGTGGTTATGGTGTGTTGCTAACTTATTCCCCCTTTTCTGAAAGGGTTAAGTAGTAGTATTAAACTCAACTAAAAGTTATTGCCTCTTACTAAGCAATTAAAGTTAATGGTTATTATCACAAATTAATGTTTTGAATTAACTCTAGGAACTGGTAACTGTAGGCAAAACCTATTTATTTAACAGGAAATTTCTTCTTTATTAAGTAGACATTTATGAAATTTTATATCTCAGACTGAAAAACTTTATTAATACTTTTAGGGAGGTTAATATTAAAGTTATCAGAATTATGTGCTTTCACAACACTGTTGATAAGGTGTAAACAAGTATGTCTTAATTTGTTGACTTCAGATGCTATTGTTACTTATACATTGAGAACTTAGTGTTGTACCATTACATTTGTTAAGTTATGAATCTTTAATTTTAATCATAAATGGTTAAAGCTGCTGATGTTACATTAGTTGATACTAATATATATTTGTTTTAGTTCAGTGACTGATAAAAATTATAAACTTAGGTTTGAAAATTACTGTTAACATGTCTTATTTTCATGAATGTTTGTTGTGGTACTCGTACAATTGATTTCTTATGTGTATCATAGCACATTTTTACCAAATATCATATCTTGTGAGAAAAAGAAAAGCTAATTTATGCTGCTTTTAAGTTTTAAATAAAGGTTTTTCTGTAAGAAAGTGAAGTTCTGAAGAAGGTTTGCTCATAATTTTGAATATAAAGTTTGGAATGACTATTTAGAGCATTATATAGCATCTGTTTAAGAGAATAAATCCATCAAGAACTTAAGCCAAAGCATAGGAAATTGCATGAACTTGTAATAAATGTTTTTACTAAAGCAAATCTAACTGCATGGAGCTCATTAGATGTCTTCTAGTGTAATTAAAAGTTACACTTTCATAATTCTATTTGTTTCTACACAAAATAACTGAAATAACTAACATGAAACATGCTATGTAACAAAGAAAAAAAAATTATTATGACAATGCTATATTTTTATTATGACTATACTTAAGGGTCATTAAAAGCTAAATGCTGTTGAAAGATTACAGATATCCCACTGCATAGATTTATGCTGAAAGAAACATAACATTATGCTTAAGTAATACAACTATATATATGTTAAATGTAATATAGAGTTTTCTCTAGTGTGTGTGTTTTTTGCATCTGCACTAAGCTAATACAGTGATTATTTTAAATAAATAAATTCTACCATTGGAAGGCTTGAAAACTTTTCTCAGCTATCAACTGGGATTTTATAATCTTTGCATATTCAGCCATCATGTTCTACCTTAGTTTATATCAAGACCCTAAAATTTTCTTCCCTTAACTGTGATTTTTTGATAATTTATATTTCATTTTGTGAAAGCTTAAAGTATGAGATTTCATAACTTTCTTGTTGCTGACTTTTTCCTTCAATGCTTTCAAAATGACTAAGAGAATTTCTCAGCATGTTTAGTTGTTTGTTAGTGAAATACTCTTGAGAAAAATACAAAATTAACAACTAATGATTAGTGAATTTATCATTTATGTTCTTTAATGTCAAGTTGAGCTTGAGAATGTTGTAAAATATACCCACTAATGTCAGTGTACCATAATGAGCAATGTCTCAAATATTTTCCTTTGAGCAGTTTTGTATCTGGAATTAATATGCATACCTATTAGTGTAAGAAAAAAATTTATATTTTATGTTCCTTCACGAATTAAAAGTTATTCATAACATATTCATATATTAATGTCATCTAGGGATATGTATTGGAAATTGACTGGCCAAGCATATACTAAATACCTTGAATCAAAAATTTAAAAGCAACATACAAAATAGTGTTATCACTCACGCATGCACAGAACTGTGATTAATGTAATACATATAATTTTTGTTTAAAGAATCAAGTAACTTGGAAAACAAAAATGGAAAGTAAAGAAGTCTAATACTGTTAGCTTTTAATAAGCACAACTAGTTTGTAGTGAGTATATTACTCTTTGTAGGAAGAAGAACTCAAAAACTTTTGGGAAGAGTACAAACATCAACCACTGAAGGGCAGGAACAGCATTTTGTTAAACTTGTGTCCTCAAGTTTATGGTTTATACATTGTGAAATTAGCTGTTGCACTGGTTTTAGCAGGAGGAGTGCAGGTTAGTAGAATTATTTCTGCTATATTCTGCCAAGGAAAGACAATAAAAACTTTTCTCAGTCATTGCAAGATGAGTTGAACTTAATAGTGTTTTATAAAGACACAAATGAACTGCTGTTGACAAGAGGATGAAGGTTGATAGCAGCTGCTGGATGAAAACTTGTATTATTAAGGACATAACAGATTATTATTATTATGATTAGCAGGAATAGTTCAGTGTTGTTTAAGAAGAGTACAGATTTGTTGTTAATTCTGCTGTATTGGTATGAGTAGATCAGGATAGTAGTATTGGCATTGATGAGCTCACATACACAGTGTTTTAAAAAAAAACATTATAGACTAGATATATTTGTTTGCAAAATGCTGGTTAATAATAGTGTTTGCTGTAGGAAAACAATCAATAGTGTTTAAAGAAGTAGAATAGGAAAATGGTATTGGCAGATTAATGTGTTTGGGTTGCCCTTTACTCAACACAAATTACCTATCTTGAAATAGAAATTTAAAGAATATGTAGCACTGATTGAAATAAAGTATTTATTTCACTCTCACTACCAAAACTATGAATATAAGTGAGAAGGAAACTTGAGACCTAGTCTGTTATTGAGTTTGCCACTAGTCATTTAGATTGGTGTTTTTGAGGGTTTCATCTCTCATCCTGGACAAAACCCAATTGAAGGGCAGTACCAAACCTCTTATAATGTTGGTCTGTAATTAATGTGTATAATATCCAGATACTATCAGAAACAGTAGTAGTTCAGGCCTGTTAGCAAGATAATTCTTAAGTAGGTGAAGCAGCAGAAATAATTATAAGTGCATGTCAAAATAATTCTATTAAAGAATGTATTGAAGCTAATTTTTATCCTCATAATTATATTAAAGAAAGAAAGTTTTTTTCACCTAATGTTGTTGTTATGAATAATATAAGTATTGTTTGGAACTTGGACTTTTTTTTTCACTTGCTACTAAAGGCACATAGAATGAGTTTCCTAGAATTTTAGTTCTGTTAGATTTTTATTGTTTAGCTTTTATGGTGAGTATCATATTTACAGTTATGATGAAAATTCTGAAGATACATTTTAATCTAAAAAAAATCATATTAATTTTAAACTTGCAATTTATTATCATTAACTGCAGTATTTAAATTTTAACCCATCTCTTGCAAATTTTTTATGTCATTCTGATAATACTTTGGGTATGGCTAATGCATTCATTGTGTGAAATGAAATATAATGCTTGATATTTGTACAAAGTGTAAAAATTAGTATTGTTTATTTTGATACAATTAAAAGAATAAATTTTTGTACTAAACTTCTGAAAAAAATTGGAAAACTGAAAAGAAATCATAAAGCAAGATGTTTTGCTTCTTTAACTAAACTTCCTCAGTTGTTAAAAGAAAAAGGCAAATAGAATGTTCATTATGAATCTAAGTTTCAAATGGACAGCTACTGCCTGTTGTAGAAACTTAGATTCATTATGAATACTGTGCCTGAACAATCTATCAAAGAATGTACATTGGCTTGTAAATTGTTTAAGCAGAAGTCATGTATGATAGAGAGCATTCAGTAAAGATAACTTTAGAGACCATCCTTTATAAATACGTTAGGTTTCTGTATTTTTTTAAATAATACTTCCCTTAATAGTTCTTTATGTACAACTTTGTAACCCATGATTGAGTAGGTACAGCTGCCTAATGACAAGATAGGTGTCTGTCCAAACCAAGCCGAGTAGTTATTTGATTGCTGGTTTGTACCTCAAATATACATTGTCTGTTTGTGTAAATTTTCAATGGTTGTGCCATAAACCCTTATTATG